ATCTGGATCAATGGCTTCACTTTCCTCGCCTCAGGAACAAGGTTCAAAACGGTTACTGGAGAAGGCGCTTTTTTCACATCCCGCATTCTTTTAAAAACTCAATGTTTTATCAGGGTCTTAAACTTTCCCAAAAGACGATTTAAGTCTCAAAATTTTATACACATTAGACCACCCATTAAGATCTGAGACCGATGAGTGATGATTAAACCAAGGGTAATTTTCCCCAGGACACAGTCCATAGTGACGCGCAGTCACGCCACCGTCCTACTCTTATCACACATTTTACCACTCTATTACCGTGGTCCCGTAAATCACGTTCCCTCACTCTCCACCAGGAACAGATACGACACTTCTTATTATGAAATGAGGCCTATATTAATCCTTAGGCCGCCGTGAATGCCAATTTCGTGGTTCCATGCTTTCCCAGCTTCCTCACCACATTCAAAACAATCCGCCTCTCCCCCCCGCACATCCGCGCATGCGCAAAGGGAACTCTTGGTTCTACTCTAATATCAAATACATTTTTGACTCATATCGACACATTAAACATCTATTAGGCGCTATAGCTTCGGAAAATCAAAAAAATTTTCCACAAAGGATGTCAGCCACAGCACCGTGTCTTCCTTTGCAGATGACACCCGAATCTGCATGACAGTGTCTTCCATTGCAGACACTGCAAGGCTCCAGGCGGACATCAACCGAATCTTTCAGTGGGCTGCAGAAAACAATATGAAGTTCAACGATGAGAAATTTCAATTACTCAGATATGGTAAACACGAGGAAATTAAATCTTCATCAGAGTACAAAACAAATTCTGGCCACAAAATAGAGCGAAACACCAACGTCAAAGACCTGGGAGTGATCATGTCGGAGGATCTCACCTTCAAGGACCATAACATTGTATCAATCGCATCTGCTAGAAAAATGACAGGATGAATAATGAGAACCTTCAGAACTAGGGAGGCCAAGCCCATGATGACACTCTTCAGGTCACTTGTTCTATCTAGGCTGGAATATTGCTGCACACTACAGGCACCCTTTCAAGGCAGGTGAAATTGCTGACCTAGAAAATGTACAGAGAACCTTCACGGCGTGCATAACGGAGATAAAACACCTCAATTACTGGGAGCGCTTGAGGTTCCTGAACCTGTATTCCTTGGAACGCAGGAGGGAGAGATACATGATTATATACACCTGGAAAATCCTAGAGGGACTAGTACTGAACTTGCACACGAAAATCACTCACTACGAAAGCAAAAGACTTGGCAGACGATGCAACATCCCCCCAATGAAAAGCAGGGGTGTCACTAGCACATTAAGAGACCATACAATAAGTGTCAGGGGCCGAGACTGTTCAACTGCCTCCCAGCATACATAAGGGGGATTACCAACAGACCCCTGGCAGTCTTCAAGCTGGCACTGGACAAGCACCTAAAGTCGGTTCCTGATCAGCCGGGCTGTGGCTCGTACATTGGTTTGCGTGCAGCCAGCAGCAACAGCCTGGTTGATCAGGCTCTGATCCACCAGGAGGCCTGGTCACAGACCGGGCCGCGGGGGCGTTGACCCCCGGAACTCTCTCCAGGTAACTCCAGGTCTCCAGGTAAACCTCTATGGGTTCATGAAAGGTAAAAGTGTGCAGAACTGTATTTCCACATTTCTCACTGCACACACCTGGAGTTTACCTGGAGAGAGTTCCGGGGGTCAACGCCCCCGCGGCCCGGTCTGTGACCAGGCCTCCTGGTGGATCAGAGTCTGATCAACCAGGCTGTTGCTGCTGGCTGCACGCAAACCAACGTACGAGCCACAGCCCGGCTGATCAGGAACTGACTTTAGGTGCTTGTCCAGTGCCAGCTTGAAGACTGCCAGGGGTCTGTTGGTAATCCCCCTTATGTGTGCTGGGAGGCAGTTGAACAGTCTCGGGCCCCTGACACTTATTGTATGGTCTCTTAACGTGCTAGTGACACCCCTGCTTTTCATTGGGGGGATGGTGCATCGTCTGCCAAGTCTTTTGCTTTCGTAGTGAGTGATTTTCGTGTGCAAGTTCGGTACTAGTCCCTCTAGGATTTTCCAGGTGTATATAATCATGTATCTCTCCCTCCTGCGTTCCAGGGAATACAGGTTTAGAACCTCAAGCGCTCCCAGTAATTGGAGGTGTTTTATCTCCGTTATGCGCGCCGTGAAAGTTCTCTGTACATTTTCTAGGTCGGCAATTTCACCTGCTTGAAAGGTGCTGTTAGTGTGCAGCAATATTCCAGCCTAGATAGAACAAGTGACCTGAAGAGTGTCATCATGGGCTTGGCCTCCCTAGTTTTGAAGGTTCTCATTATCCATCCTGTCATTTTTCTAGCAGATGCGATTGATACAATGTTATGGTCCTTGAAGGTGAGATCCTCCGACATAATCACTCCCAGGTCTTTGACGTTGGTGTTTCGCTCTATTTTGTGGCCAGAATTTGTTTTGTACTCTGATGAAGATTTAATTTCCTCATGTTTACCATATCTGAGTAATTGAAATTTCTCATCGTTGAACTTCATATTGTTTTCTGCAGCCCACTGAAAGATTTGGTTATGTCCGCCTGGAGCTTTGCAGTGTCTGCAATGGAAGACACTGTCATGCAGATTCGGGGGAAAGTTGGTGTCTGATTCTGTAGTACAGCCTGTTAAGTATCATTCTTTCAAAAGTTTTACAAAGACAACTAGTTAAGGAGATCGGCCTAAATGTATCAGGCTGTTGGCTTAAACAAACAATGATCAATTAATTTAGTATTAAGTAGGCTGTAAGCCATTAAATTAAGTTTGCCCATAATGCCTAGGCATGATAGGGGCTCTTTGTACTCCAACTCATTATTGTAGTTTCATAATCTCAATGTAATCTTGCATTATTATTATAATCAAGGGGGAAGCGCTAAACCCGGAGGATTATACAGCGCCTGGGGGGGGGGATGTGGAAGGCATTCAGGCTTAATTCGGGGAACTGGAGCACAGATCCAATTCCCTAAATCAAGAGCCCCTCACCAACATCAAGGAACCTTCCTTGAGGGGATGTAATCTTGCAAAGAAATAAAATTTGATTGCTTGTTTGTTTGTAATTTATCACTTAATTTATAAATCATTTACAGTATGTAGACATTGGTCTTAACATTCGCGTTACCATCTATATAATTAATATGGAGTGACTCTTGACTCATTTAATAGCCTCACTATATATCCCACGTTTATCCCATGGTGAAAGTTACTCATAATAAAAGGTACTTATGATACTTATAATAATAATGGGCTTTCCTAAGAACCTACGAAAAAAGTTTTTCAGTACGCAGACAAAGTGTCATCCCATTCATTGTAATGCACCTCGCAATAACTGTATTTTTTTTTAAGAAATAAATGTGTTACTATTATAATATAATTCTTATGACTGGAAAACAATGGATTCTGGGTTAGCGCTGCCAGATGTAAAAATAAACTAAGTAAATTATTGTACTCTTGTTATACAGCACTTATTTTGTAAAATATAAATTAAGCTTATATCAATTAAGGCATTATAAACTGTATATTTAGTTTTAATGAAAAAATACAGTTCGAAGATGTAGACGTGAGACACGCCCTACGTCTGGCATATAAACTTTGTTATCAAATGAGATGCTAAAACTTGATGTTATTGCCTTTAGTAATAAACTTTCACAGAGAATTTCAAACATTTAAATTAATTAATAATTAAATAAGTTTAAGCTAAAATAATACGCAATGGTATACTTTATTTGACAGTTTTATTGTAAGAATAAGGGTTCATTTGTCAATATTGTGAGTACTTTGGAGATTGTTTACATCGGCAGTCTGGCGTCCTCATTTTGTTGTAAGTTTTGTACAGCTTCACTCTAGTTTTGGTGGAAACAACTCTGCCCTTCGATATGCCTTCACCCATACAGCTAGCAAATGGGGCTCCCCATTATCAGAATTGGTACCATAAAAAGACTATGAGTTTGCCAAGTGAGCTGCGCAAATATACAACAATGGCTCCATCAGCTGGCAGTCTCAGATACTCATTATGGAAACTGACGATCCCATTGAGACAATGGTAACTTGAATTCCCATGGGAGTACGCCAGTTAGAGTGGATAATGAGGGTGGGGAAAGAAGTGAGGTGTTTGTGAGAAGCCCCGAGTGACAGATGGTGGGGGAGGGAGATCAGACCCACCCATAAGGCATTAACCATCACAGGAAATTTCATCCTTTTACTTGACTGGGCTATCCTAGATTAATTTCTACGTGGTGTAATACATAAGATAATTGTAAAAAATTAACTTATGTACGAAGTCCAAGTGGGTTTTTATTTAAGCAAACCATACACATTAATTTGTTTTTACAGTAGTCATGAGGGAACATATGTACATTATGTACTATAGATTTAATTTAGGAGAACCCAGTAAAGCCAAATAATGAGACATATCCATTTGGGTAATATTAATACATATGCCTATTCATATGCTGGCTTATACCTTTATTAATATATAATATCTTTATTACTAATAAAACACAGACAACATATTAGGATATTTGTTAAGACGTTTTGCTCCCCAGAATGATAAAGTTCTTGTGAGTGAAATGTCTCCTTATTATGTCCTAATACTGCTTATATGTCTTTCTTGCACACTAGTCATTGTTGATCACCATTTGTGACCTCAAGCAGTACAAAAATAAAATTTGTAAATCTTACGTTATAAGTGTGTCAGCAGTACAAGAAATCACTTAATTTTTTTTATTTACAATTACTATCATAATTGAAAATTAATTTTATTGCCAGTATTATTAAAACACATTTAACACTAACTCTTTCTTATCACTAGTTTCTTGTTACTATTATATAGCCATGAATTCTAATATTTATCCTAAACTAAATCTGATCTTAGTATTAATGATATACAATACCAACAAGTAGATAAATAAGACATGTGCAACATTTGGGTATCTTATTGCCAAAAAGATTACCTTTCCACTTCTTTCTAGGTAAAAGGGGTTGCTACACTGGAGCAGTTATAAATACATTACACCTTTATTTTTCTTTTTATTGGTCATGTAATTTAATTGGAAAGCTGCCTAAAGGGCTTTTTCGGGCATAAGCTCGTAAAATAATCAGGGATTACATTACAAAAAGGTAATGAATCTAATGCTTATAATAGAACACAAAGAGTTAGTTTTACAAAGCAAAACCTCTTTTTTTTAAAATTTCTTCCCCAAGGGCAGGGGAAAGTTTGGGAATATTTTATCAAGTTGCGTTTATGAGTCATAATAAAATTAATAATTTAAAATATAAAAAAGAAATAATAATTTTTTTCTTCAAATACATGTACAATTATACAGGCCTAGCTGACAACAGTGACATAAGACTACAAAGAAAAACATTTGTTATGCAGAGCATTACGGGCAAATTAGGTCAGTTTTGTCCTGGGATGCGACCCACACCAGTTGACTAACACCCAGGTACCCATTTTATACTGATGGGTGAACATAGATAACTGTGTAAGGAAACATGCCATGTTTTTACCCTCGCCTGGAATCGAACCCAGACCCCTCACTGTGGAAGTGAAAGCTTTAGCCCCAGGCCATGATAAATACAGTATTATTTACTGTATATCCGTTGGATCTTCCTTTCAGAGACAGGCTATAGCCCATTACTCATTTGATGTACAAATTTTCTTTCTCCTCTTCCATGAGGGAGGGGCTCTTTCTAGTAGTTTATTAGGCTGTTCTTGTGGCCTCTGTGTCATCTTGCAGCTTTGTACAGTCCTCTTCCATCTCTTTTTTTTGTGAGCTTTCACCATTCATAAACAGTGATATGCAGTTTTTGCATAGAAAGAAAAAGTGCCAAATTCAAACAGCAGAGAAAAACATAGGCATGAGGGAGATCAGAGCTATGAAGCTCGGTTTCCATACTTTGTTATGGGCTTTGGCCAACTTTACAGATGCATAAACAATATCTACACATTCCCACAGATGAAACTTTAGGAATCGCTCATTCCTAACCTTGAATTGTTTGTGGTAGTGCTTTTTCTTCTTTGCCCTGTAATACCTTAAAATCTGGAAAATCCCTGCCTGAAAATTCGAGAAAACAGACTCAACCACCATTTTCAAAACTACTGTTAAAAACATCTTATTGCCCTAACACACCCCATCATCAGCTAATAATGGAAAAACCCCTTTTCTCTTTTTGTATCATGAAACACATCAAAAGAAAATAGAATGCTTTCGTTATCTGTAATATCCCCTAATCTACACTTACACTCATCCAAATGACTGTAAACATTAAAATTCCCAATAAAATATAGCTATTGCCTAATAAATCTTAAGTTAGTCTTAAGTTTGCCCGAGATACTCCAATATAAGAGTTTTAATAGACACTGTGTATCATACCAAGACAAAACATTCCAATTACTAAATTTACTAATTGTAATATTGTCATATGTTTTGTACTACTACACAATTATAATCAAATTAATCACTGCAGTTACCGAATTTTTAAATTCATTATGCCCCATAATCTGTGTCAATATAGAGTAAGAGTAAGAATTAGGATTAGTCTGCCCGAAATGCCTAGGCATGCTAGGGGCCTTTTTTGTAATTAATATTTTAAAATATGTAAACCACCATTGTAAGCATTGCAAGGAAATCAACATTTTAATTTTAATTTAATTTTAATTTAAGGTAGGAATGTTCTTGAAGTACAAGCTAATCCTTAGGTAAATCTTCTTGTTACTCTACCTCAGCTTATCATCTCTACAATAACTTAATCCCAGCCTGTGTACGGAAGTTTGGTGTAAAGGGTTGGTATGCTGTAAGCATATATTGTTCAGAAAATATTTAGGGTTTTTTTTGTAGTACTGTACTGTATTTTTGTTACTTTCATGCATTAGTTGAACTTTAAGTGTTAGATTGTATTGTACACGAGGCTTGAACATGAAGTTATTTTGCCAAGGGGTAGTGAAGGCATGATTCTTTGCTGCATTTCGAGACAGATGTGTTACCTATTTGTACATACCTATTTGTAAATTTTAATAGTGTAAAACATCTGTAATACTTAGCTCATTTTCTGTTTGTGCAGACGTATGTTACAAGGAATGACAAACGATGGAGTCTGCTCCTCCCTTAACCTGTCCACAACTGTCAAAGTAGAGGACTTGAGGGAAAATGGTTCCAGAAGAGAATGCTCACGAATATACCGTTGAAGGAGAGGGGGTTGTTTGAGGACAGTGGTACTGTTGATGAGGATGGCAAAAAACACTACCCTTGGATGAGGAGGAAGGAAACACAAAAGAATTGATAAACAACCATGGGATACAAAAGAAAACCTCATATCAGAAGCCAAACATCTGATGTCTAGAGTCGACTAGGTTCAAAAGAAAAGGAATACAAGTGCTCTGAGTCCCATCAGCATTTGTAAGGGCTATTCAGCTACGGGCACATGAAAGGACACACTATGAGGAACAGGTTAGTGGAAAGAGGACTTGTTTTAGTTCTTTCTTCTTTCAACAAACTGGCCACATCCCAACGAGGCAGAGTGGCCCAAAAAAAAAAACAAAAGTACTGTTTTATTTATCTATACTAATTGAAAAGAGAAATTGAAAGCAACTCAGACAAAATTTGTTTTTAATCTTAACAAAAATATTGATTTTCTCTTGAATTTATTAAAGGATGTGAATTGTTTTTTTCAAGTTTAGTAATATGTAAGTGATCATAACAGTAGTATGAATTTCAAGAGCTGGTGTTTGATTTAGGTGAAATAGGTGGATTTAAATTTTATTTTGTTTACCCTTGAGTTATAGAGGATTTTTTGAGTTTCATCTTTTCTTGTTCTACTTGTGCTTTACAGTGAATAGATATAAAGCATGAAGATTCAATCTGAGGGATGAGTGTTATCACAGGTTAATGTAATTAATGGTAGACAGCAACCGCCCAGGGAGGTACTACCGTCCTGCCAAGTGAATGTAAAACAAAAGCCTTTTATTGTTTTACATGATGGTAGGATTGCTGGTGTTTTTTTGTCTGTCATAAAATATGCAAGATTACAGGTATGTCTTGCTACTCTACTTACACTTAGGTCACAATACACATACATGTACACTTTATTTATTACACACTCATCTGAGTTTTCTTTGATTTTATCTTAATAGTTCTTGTCTTATTACTTTTCCTTTTATATCCATGGGGAAGTGGAATAAGAATCTTTCCTCCGAAAGCCAGGGTGTTGAAAAAGTCAACAAAAATCCCGGGGAACAATGGGCTATTAACCCTTTTCCTGAAAAGATTACTAAAAAGAAAAATAAAAAGAAAATTGTCAAAGGGGGAAGTCTGAATGTGCGTGGATGTTGTGCAAATGATAAGAAAGAGATGATTGTGGATGTTATGAATGAGAAAAAGCTGGATGCCCTGGCTTTAAGTAAAAACAAAGCTAAAGGGGGGGTGGGGAGAGTTTCAGTGGAGAGGAATAAATGGGATTAGGTCAGGGGTTTCAAATAGAGTTAGAGCTAAAAAAGGAGTAGCAATAATGTTGAAGGATAAGATATGGCGGGAAAAGAGGGACTATAAATGTATTAATCAAGGATTTTTGTGGAGTAAAATAAAGGTTGGATGTGAAAAGTGGGTTTAGTAAGTGTATATGCACCTGGAGAAAAGAGAGGTGTAGAGGAGAGAGAGAGATTTTGGGAAATGTTGAGTGAATGCTGGGGAGTTTTGAACAAGTGTGAGAGTACTTGTGGTTGGGGGTTTCAATGCTAAAGTGGGCAAAAATGTTTTTGGAGGGAGTAGTAGGTAAATTTGGGGTGCCAGGGGTAAATGTAAATGGGGAGCCTTTAATTGAGCATGGGGTAGAAAGAGATTTGGTAATAAGTAATACATATTTTATGAAAAAGAGGATAAATAAATATACAAGGTATGATGTAGCACATAATGAAAGTAGTTTGTTAGATTATGTATTGGTGGATAAAAGGTTAATGGGTAGGCTCCAGGATGTACATGTTTATAGAGGGGCAACTGATACATCGGATCATTGTTTAGTTATAGCTACAGTTAGAGTAAGAGGTAG